TAGTCTAACTGGAAACCAATAAAATTTTAGAATTAGAAAAGTTTGTGAAACTTCTTGTTTTATGTTCAAGATAATCTAGCTTTATATTTAATAAATGTGTTTTTGTAGTTTTTTACCATTTAAACCCAATATGTTAATGACTGTTAAAGTTCACCTTTAATTCCTTCAACTCAACAGAAACTACAAAGTGTTATAAAATACTCTGGTTAATAATTTAATTTAATTTCTCATGTCCTTTATTTTAAAAACAAACCCTTCCTGGATGTAAATGGAACGGATCCAGCAGGAGAACAGTTTCATGTTGGAACGCGTCCAACAGCGGATCTGTTTATGAACTCCCCCAAAACACGAGCTGATGTCGCGTGGGCTCTCTCSGTTAAACCATCCCTGGGGGTCTCTTAAGACCCCAGAACGAACAAGATCTCCCCGAAAAACGTTAAAATTATTAACGATCGTTTCATTCAATAAAGGAAGTCCTCCACCGCGACGAGAAACGGACGTTTTGGCTCCTTTAGCTTAAAGCTAGCACTAGCACGCGCACTTACCACGCTATGTAGCCGGGGTCCGACTAATTCCTGGGACAGTYCAGCATGGTTTTGCGGTAAAACTGAGACCTAAACTAAAAATAAAAATCTAATAAATCAATAAAGCACTGCAAAACAAACCAAAGCTTTGTTTGATTTGCTTTACTGTAATTTAGGAGCAATTACAGCGCATTTCRTAACAGTTTAAACGATGAAACCCCATTGTTGACATCAACACCGTCTTAAACACAACTAATTAATGCAAAAATAATAAATAAATAAACTACATTTAGAAAATAATCTGTTATTTGCCTACAACAAAACAACATGCCTCCTAATACAAAGARATGAGCTTTTGCAGTAAAGTGTTTCCAGATATTAGTCATGCCCAGACCACACGAACATCAGATCTGAAGCAAACAGCGATCCTGAACACGTTTTATTACAAATTATCAGACGCACAAACCTGTAAACAATCATTAAACATATGTAATTATTTGTTTTAACTAAATGTTAACGTTGAAAAACAAACAACGCAATAAAATACGCAACTTTTTTTACGAGCAACGAACCGGGAGCGAGCAGCGGAAACGCGTAATGCTACTAAAAAAATGCGCAGTTATTATTAAATGTGTTTTACATCTAATCAGACGTTAGTTTTAAACAATAAAAACACGTCGGCAGGTTTTAGATTCACTTCGACTACCATGTGCTCTGTCCACCCCTCCTCCTCCCCTGACTGCCGGTCCAGTTCAGCCCTGCAGCGGCACCGAACACAACAGAACCGGGACTCTTACCTCGGCTGGAGACCGGTGCCTGAGCTCTAAAGAAACTCTCTTCTTCATGTCCATTTCCCGCTCCGTTCGACCCTAAGTTCGGCTTTATGTGCTGTAGAAACCAGAGAGTCCGCTCCGCGACCCGCTTCAACATCAACACGCGGAACCAATGTGAAGTCAGCGCGATTCAGGGGGCGGAACTTCCGGTTCAGACTGCACAAATAAAACCGTCATGGCTGCACCGGAAGTGCGATTGGGGGTGATTCCGTTAATGTTTTCCATCTTTATTTTCTACTTTATTCTGTATATTTTAAATCTAATAATCAACACGAAGAATAACGCACACATAGGTAAAATCTAGCATGTTTAATTTTTGTACTTGACATTTATTTTGAAAGTAACACAAGACTTCCGGAAGTTGTCAATCTTTTTAGCTCCAGCTTGACGCAAAACGTTCTTGTGTGGAAAAATGGGTCAAGTCGTTTGCTGAGTTCACGTTGCCACGAAAATAACGCTACTTTAGATTTTAAAAATTTAAAACAATGCTCTTTAGTCGTGCATGAGTCTAAACTTTTTGTTTTTATCATCATATTTGTTAACATCTGACACGAGTTATGGAATAAACGGTAAAGTTCTCTATCATCGCTTTTTGATGAGACGTTGTAAATTCCGATTTTTTAAGAAGCACTTGAAGACYTCAGACTTATAAAGGGAGGGAAACGGCAGCATGGAGAAAACTGGCTCTCTGGCGCCTCTCGTGGCTGTTTAAGCTGCAGCATTATAGAGGAGTTCACCCAGAATAGGTAAATATTACCTGTTTATGATTAACCTCACTCCAAAAGATGTGAAATATTAATTTAAATGAAACATACAGGAGTCATGCTGTCAGCAGAGAGTTCTCCTAGTGTTTTATTTCTTTATTGTCATTACATCAGATCATCTTCACGACAAGCAGTAATACATACAGTGGTCTTAGAGTAAATCATTGTCCAATACAAGGAGAGCAACAGTTAATTAGTGTCACAGCTAAGATTTTTATTTTTCCAAATACCAACCCCATCCACAAACCACTTCCTCTACGTCACACGACCATGTAATGTGCCACAGGTGCCATACGAATAAATAACAGAATGAATAAATAAATAAATTAATTAACAAATAAATAAATATGTACAGTACTCAAATAAATAGCAACAAGTTGTGTATATATTACATACACACACAGTAGCTCATGGGAGGACAGCAGGTTCCGTAAGCATATATA